TGGGTCCTGTGGGTCCGTTTGATCCAAAGGGTCCGTCCGGTCCCGATGAACCGACTTGGGGTCCTGACTGTCCAGTTTGTCCGTATGAGCCTGATCCTGTCGGAGCTTGAGTAGCACCAGCTGGGCGGGATGGTCTTTGAGATACTGGAACTGGCCCATAATTCCCTGGCCCCTCTCCTATTTGGTTGTTGTCAACTGGTGACGAACCTCCTTGTGGCCTCTGGCCGATTGTGCCCAAGGCTTCTGAGTTGGCAGCGCCGCTCTGAGGAGGCCGAGCCTGGGGCGCGTTTCCTTTCACTCCGCATCCCTTAGGGAAATGAAGTTGAGCGTACGGGGTAATAACGCCGTGGTGGTCATGATGGTTGTGGTGATCGTCGTGGTCGCCATTGTCTCCGTGCTCCTCGTGGTGGTGACTAGGGTCGTGAGGATGGAGGAACAGCTCCACTGCCTGTCCTGGTGTGACGGTGCGGTAGCCCCAGCCGTCTGACAGGTAGTGCGTCACGGAGAGCTTGCCGAAAGGGTCCACGTATCCGTAGCATCCGTACACGATGCCGTCCGGACCCTTGTCCTCGTGATGAAATTGGCCACTAGGACCGATTTCGTAACCAAAATCGTATGTGCCTGCAACAAAAAGAATCGACACAACAGTTGAGTTAACAAACGCGCATATTACCGCCAATTTAAATGTGTACATTATATACTTTACATAAAATATACACGACTTGTACACTTTAATTAATAAACGTTTTGTTTAGGGGGCAGACCTGTGAAATGGAAGGGTTTAGGAGAATCGTCACCACATGAAAACTACAAGCCGCATTTATTTAGGACTAAAGGTGTATTGAGAGCATACACGTTAATATTGCCGGCGTCGGTGCGCGTACTCTCCAGGAACATGCCGATCTTTGCCTTCGACTGGAACGATGCTGTCCTTTTCGGTGTGCACGATTGTAAAAAAATGTACTCATCCGTTGCGCTACAGTCGTGCACACCGAAAAGGTCGGCATCGGTCCAGATGAAGGCAAGGATCGGCACCTTCCTGGAGGGTGCGCGCACCGGTGCCAACAGAAAAATTAACGTCTAGCTGAATACACCCTTAGTCCTAAATCGATGCGGCTTGTAGTTTATATCGATTTTTATGTAGTGAAATTCCCCCAAAACCCTCCCATTTTCCAGGTCTGTCACCTAAAATTGGGTGAAACTACTCCAAAAATACTACTTTTTAGACCTTACTAAGCGTGGATCTTGTGAAATAACAATACTGCCTAAAGTTTGTTGGGATTTCATTATGATTCAATCATAACTGCCTTTGGAAATTTCCACAGGACTTTCTTTTCTATTTTTGAGGTGGTTCTAAGTTGAATACATGATTTGATGGCGCAGACTTTGCCGTTTTTTAAACAAACTACTACGGAGGCCATTCGGATATAGCAAAGGACTTTTACAGCATAATTCATTACTGCTTTTTACTTCATATTATCTTCTAAACGCTATTTTACTATCGTTTTACTTAGTTTAATGTAAATTTTCCGTAGCATTGGTTCGTATGGTAGCATTTACGATCATTCCATGGCTGAACTAAAAATTCTTAGTGTACCTAGTGTTCCAAGTACGAACTAGCCAATGAGCATGGCGGCAACGCCAAACAAACATGGCGATGGCGGCAAGGATTTTACTTAACCACGGAAACGTGCGGAGACGATCGTCCACGAAAACCCCTTAAATTAATGAAAAAATTATCTCCACTCTCTACTTATATAAAATAAAATATATATTAGCGAAGCCAAAACGATCGTAGTAGATAGGCCTTTAACAGTGAATTCTGTATGAAAAGCAAAAAAAGTCTGTGAAGAGAAAACGTATATTTTAAACATATTAATTTGATTTTTAAAGTTTCATTGTGGATAAGGACAAAACGTAAAAGTAGAAATCAAAACTGACTGGCAT